TGGTACTATTTCTTCAAAGACCATTAGATTTTATTGTTTTGGAATGTGGTAAGTGGTGAGGTCATTCATAAGACCTACGATGTAATTTGATTGTGAGTCGATTGTGGCTCACATTGCAGGCTCAAAGCCAAGCCAGCCAACAAAATTACGGTACCCTTGCTCGTGTAACAATCCCGGCAAGGACAAGTTTATTAATCAGCGATTCGCATTTCTGGCAGGCTGTGTAGAAATAGGTTGTGTGTTCACTATTATCCACACCCCTTGCTTCCACTACCCATGTTTGTGTACGGATCAAACGGAGGTTGCTCATTACTGTGAACAAGAGCCTAGCCTCTGACTGGCATAGCCATCCATGTGCTCCATCCCTCATGCTTCAGTCCCCTTGCCTCATACCAGTCAGCCAACTCTTCCCTCAACTCATCTCCCTCCCTTCCACATCGCTCCCTGCCAACCTACCATACCTTCCTATAAGTCTGCATACATAGGCAACTTCAAGGTATAGAGATCTGTCATCTTGGTGTAAATGAAATTGTCATATTGGTGGGGCGCATTCAGCTGCCAAGGCGTATAGAGATGTGTCAGCTTGGTCAGGGCAGTCAGCTGCTGCAGCCCATCATCCGTGACTGCCGTGCCATCCAGATCAAGCCTCTCAAGCCCTGTAAGCCTCACCAGATGCACGATGCCGGCATCTGTCACACCACTGCAATAACCAAGCCGCAGGTGTTTGAGAGAGAACGGAGGTGTCAAGTGCGACAGTCCGGCATCGGTCACATTGGCCTGATGGAGAGAGAGGTCTGTGAGACTGGTCAAGGACCCAATGCCTTCCAAGGCACTGTCTGAGAAATCAGTGTAATTGAAGTTTAGCTTTTCTAATTGGGGCAGCCTGTAGAGGTGTTTGATGCCCTCTGCACTGAAGCCTGACCTCGAGTCCAAGTCAATGCTCGTCAGGTGCGTCATTGTGGACACATGGACGAGCATGGCGTCTGAGACGCCGCGGAGACACGCCAGGCTCAGATCAGACTTCTGTAATGCTTCCTTGATTGCCTGGAAGAAATGAACGAAGAGAGAAAGCATAGCAAGGGAATGGATGATCATGGTGGTGATAAGGAAGGGATGGCAAGCAATATATGCTCTATGGAACAGGCCCCTAAGCACTCACCCGCCATGCAGTCTTTTTATCGCCTACACTCCGCTTGATCTTCCGGGTAACATTCACTTTCACGTCTTGTACCTTCTGCCATTCCTTGCCGGCTGCCAATTCCTCCATGGCACATGGCAGGTTTAACTCCTGCACCTCTTTCCTCCTCTCCTCCTCCCATGGAAACTCTGCTACCATTTCGTGCCTTCTCTTTCTACTCTCCCCTCTCAGGCCTCATGCATCTGATGCCCTACTACCCTCAGCCCATTGCTCTGCCATAGTACCCTTTTGTTCCACCAACTCCCTTTTCACCGCTGCCAACTCCCCCTTCACTGCTGTCAGCATGTGCCGCAACTCATCCACCTCCTCCTTGTGTGCAGCCAGCTCCCGTCTAACTGCTGCCAACACAGCCTCCTTGCACAACTCTTTCAGCCCACTCAGCACTCTCTCAGCAGCCATCTCATCCACTCACTGACTCCTCAAACAGCCCTTGTTCTATGGCTGATTGATCCGTGCGTTCAGTTGCCCCCATTCCCTGCTGCCTGGCGAGAGCAAACAAGCCTGGGTAGGGCAGGGTTTAACGTTTTGCGAAAAAACAGAAACGTAAAAACAAAAGACGGAGAAGGTGCCTGGTGAGTGGACACACAAACAAGACCAATTACACAAGCATGAGACATGAGGCAGTGATGTGAGAAAGAGAGCAGATAAGTAGTAGCAGAAAAAGAGGAACTTGATTGAAAAATGGGCTGTTGGAAAGGGACACCACAAGTATCGCAGCAAGGCAGAAACGATTGTAGTGGTGAAGCGGTAGGGACTGCATCGGGTGTTGATGTTAAAGCAATTCACCCCGACTGGCAAAGCATGCAGGCCAAGCATAGTAGGAGGAGACAGCAAAGACATGCAGAAATTTGCTGAAAGAGTACAACAACAAACACAACGCTAAGAGGAACCAGAGAAGACAGACAAGGGAGACAATGACCACATCACAAAAATCAAGTGGCCGAAAACCTCTCATGATGTGTTTCTCATGTGTTTTTGCAGATGATTTGAAGATGTAGGGGTCGGTAATTTTTTAGAAGAAAGTATCGAACTTTTCCAAGATGATGTGTCAGATGCTTTGTAGATGGTTGGAGTGTTTTAAAACAGTTGTGAGGAACTTCTCATTGTGTTTAGGATAACTCGTTTTGATCATATTTGGTTAAATTATGTGATTCTTTTTTGTGCTTGGATAAGTTTTGCTTCACACTTTTATATGCACATAATAATACAGGAATAGGAATATGCAACATTTAAAGAAACCACAATTGGAGATTGAAAATCACAATTGGTAGTTTGTATAGGGCTTTCCATAAATTCACCGTAAGAGGGAAATAATGTACGTGTAAATCATAATATTAGCTTGAAAAATGCTTACAACACAGTAGATGCCTACTCATCCTCTGGTACCTAGCTGGCACCTGCGCTACTTCTCCCCACTATCAACCCCTAGGTCCATACTATGCCGCATGCTTCCTGCTGCGCTACTCCATGCTACATTCTCCCTACTGTGCTGCTCCCTGCTGCATCCTCCCTGCTGTGCTACTCTCTGCTACATCCTCCCTGCTGTGCTACTCTCTGCTACATCCTCCCTGCTGTGCTACTCTCTGCTGCATCCTCTCTGCTGTGCTACTCTCTGCTGCATCCTCTCCTCCCCTTCCATGCTGCTACTCCTCTCCTCCCTTCCTTGCTGCTACTCCTCTCATCCCTTCCCTGCTGCTACTCCTCTCCTCCCTTCCCTGCTGCTACTCCTCTCCTCCCTTCCCTGCTGCTACTCCTCTCCTCCCTTCCCTGCTGCTACTCCTCTCCTCCCTTCCCTGCTGCTACTCCTCTCCTCCCTTCCCTGCTGCTACTCCTCTCCTCCCTTCCTTGCTGCTACACCTCTCTTCCCTTCCTTGCTGCTACACCTCTCCTCCCTTCCTTGATGATGCTCCTCTCCTCCCTTCCCTGCTGCTGCTCCTCTCCTCCCTTCTCTGCGGCTGCTCCTCTCCTCCCTTCCCTGCTGCTGCTCCTCTCCTCCCCTCCCTGCTGCTGTTCCTCTCCTCCCTTCCCTACTGCTGCTCCTCTCCTCCCTTCCCCGCTGCTGCTCCTCTCCTCCCTTCCCTGCTGCTGCTCCCCTCCTCCCTTCCCTGCTGCTGCTCCTCTCCTCCCTTCCCTGCTGCTACTCCTCTCCTCCCTTCCCTGCTGCTGCTCCTCTCCTCCCTTCTCTGCTGCTGCTCCTCTCCTCCCTTCCCTACTGCTGCTCCTCTCCTCCCTTCCCTGCTGCTCCTCCTCTCCTCCCTTCCCTGCTGCTCCTCCTCTCCTCCCTTCCCTGATGCTACTCCTCTCCTCCCTTCCCTGATGCTACTCCTCCTCCCTTCCCTGATGCTACTCCTCTCCTTCCTTCCCTGCTGCTGTTTCTCTCCTCCCTTCCCTGCTGCTGCTCCTCCCCTCCCTTCTCTGCTGCCGCTCCTCTCCTCCCTTCCCTACTGCTGCTCCTCTCCTCCCTTCACTGCTGCTACTCCTCTCCTCCCTTCATTGATGATACTCCTCCCTTCCCTGCTGCTACTCATCCGCTCCCTTCCCTGCTGTTACTCCTCTCCTCCCTTCCCTGCTGCTACTCCTCTCCTCCCCTCCCTGCTGCTGTTCCTCCCGTCCCTTCCCTGCTGCTGCTCCTCTCCTCCATTCCCTGCTGCTGCTCCTCTCCTCACTTCCCTGCTGCTGCTCCTCTCCTCCCTTCCCTGCTGCTGCTCCTCTCCTCCCTTCGCTGCTGCTGCTCCTCTCCTCCCTTCCCTGCTGCTGCTCCTCTCCTCCCTTCCCTGCTGCTGCTCCTCTCCTCCCTTCCCTGCTGCTGCTCCTCTCCTCCTTTCCCTGCTGCTTCTCCTCTCCTTCCTTCCCCCCTCCTACTCCTCACCTCTCTTCCCCCATCCTACTCCTCTCCTCCCTTCCCTGCTGCTACTCCTCTCCTCCCTTCCCTGCTGCTACTCCTCTCCTCCCTTCCCTGCTGCTACTCCTCTCCTCCCTTCCCTGCTGCTGCTCCTCTCCTCCCTTCCCTGCTGCTGCTCCTCTCCTCCCTTCCCTGCTGCTGCTCCTCTCCTCCCTTCCCTGCTGCTACTCCTCTCCTCCATTCTCTGCTGCAATTCCACCATTCATCTCCTCTAGACGTGACCTGAAGCCGCCCTCCTTGTCGGGTTGCGGGGTTGTGGTCTAGGCCTATACTCCTCGAGCCCCGACTCATGGACGAACAAGCCGAAGTTCCCCCACTTAAACCCTTTCATCCGTGGATCGTACACAGGGTTCACCTGGCGGAAATGATCCGTCACCGCCCGTTTCACCGCCCTACGGATGCTTGTCACCCACCGCGTGTTCTTACGGTGGGAGTTGGTGAGGTTCATCGTCGACTTCTTGATCTTCGACAATCCGTAGTCGATCTGCGTTGTCAAGAATGGAAATCATGAACAAATTCAAGCTTGATAAGGATGTGTGAGAGGTTTATGGTTATGCGGGGCAATCGCAAGATGCAGGAAAGTACGCCAGTGCTAGAATGTGAGCATGAGACATGAGTGGGCGCAGCTTTAGAAGGAAATGGGGAACCAATGAATGTTTGGAAACACCTGAGGGGTTTAGGGTTCTGATGGGTACTGCATGGATGTGAGGAGAAAGGAGAAAAGGATTAACAATGTAAGTCCGTGAGTGGAAGAGTGCAACCAGAGGGTTTAGGGTACAACTCGAGAGGAGTGGAAACCTGGGTTTCAAGGAGCAACGGAGGGGAAGTTGGAAACACGAGTGCATAAGGTTTAGGGTTGATGGCATGGGGCAGGTGGAAACACAAGGAAAAAAGATCCGTCTAGAGAAACACGCTAAAGGGCCCTAACAAGTCACTCACCACCAAGATAGTCCATGCAATGTGATATGCCTTCAAGCAAATGTCGTTCCCCACGGCAAATTCACCAAATGCGTCCATGGCCGCGTTGAAGAAAATCTCGTTGCCGAACGGGAGATCACTATCCTCGGCATTTCCCCATGTGCTCAGTAGGGCGTCCGCACCTGCAACATGCTCGAACAAAAGTGGTCCAAGGGTTGGGGTGTGATATGGGAAAAGGGTTAGGGGGTGATGTAAAGTACCTTTTAAGACAACAAGTACGGAATATGGGATGTTGCAAGATAGGGGTGCTAGGGTTGAGATGGTGAGAAAGGGGGGAGGGGGGGAAGGTGGGGGAAAATGACAAGCTTATGTTTACTCACTCGGGCCAAACTCCCCCCAGAGTTCCTCCTTGAGCTCGGTGTCGATGTGAATTTCCGCCGCCCGCAAGCCACTCATGGGAACCCCCAAACCCTCGAGCACGGTGCGTTTGACGTAAAACCCACGCTCGTTCTTCCACTGAGTGTACACGCGCTTGAATGCATCCCTGCGCGTTTTATCTGCCATGGCCTCCTTGAGTATGATCAAGGGAACCACGTAGTGCTCGGAAATAACTTCGTGCAAAACAAGAATGCCCTTCTCAAAGCTTGGATAGAACGTGATGAGATGGTCCTCAGCCTCCATACACATGCGCGTCCGAGCTTCTTCCATGTAGAGCTGTTCAATACGACATAAAGGGACCAACAATGTAAAGGTAAACCACAATGACAGAGGAGGTGCAAAATTATCCGGTTGAAACGGAAAACCAGAGAAAACTAGTGGACGAGCCATTGCCACGGACGGGCCAGCCAATAGGATTGAAAACCAAGATAATGTGAATGATAATGACCATGGACAAGAATGGGATACGCAAAAAAGCATGTAAAACCAGGGACTGCACGAGAATGAGCAAATGCACGGATTGGAACCAGAGAAAGAGAATGGTGGGAACCATTTGTCTTAGAATGAGGGGTGAACCATAGCATGAGAATGAGGTGTACCACCAGAGGATGAGGAGGGTTAAACCAGAGAATGAAAACAAAGGGCAAACCAGAAAATGGGAATGAAGGGTAAAACGGAGATTGTGAATGAGAAAAGGTCACTGCATGGAATGATTCCAGAGAGTGGGAATGACTAGACAAACAAAGAATAAGAATGGTAATGCGCGGTTGGGGACAATAGAATGATATAATGTACAAGCCAGCGAGTAGGGTCCACCAATGGGTAAGTGAGATGGGTGGCACTTACCTTCAGATTTGTTGCATTAGGCATCCCATGCCTCCTGGTGATTGGAGTGCCTTGAATAGCACTCTCCGCCACAGCGCCCGGCGTTTCGGGCGGCTCAGGTTGCTCGCTGGAGATCGAGGTAAGCGGCGGGAGTTGCGTCCCGTTTCCCCCCCGGTCCACCAAAGGTCCCCGACCGGCCTTCAGCTCTGCGATCTGCCTATTAGCTTCCTGCAAAGCCTGAAAGAGTTGCTGCATGGAATCATTAGGAGTGGTGCTTGAAGGAATGATGGGCACTCCGCTAGCGTTGAGCGGGGAATTGCCTCCTGCCGATGCAAACGGGAGGGGAGTTGCTGGGTCAGAGCGTCCAACTTTCCTTTCATCATTGAACCAATCTCCAACACCACACGCCTCACCCTCATTCGCTCCCAGCCCCCCACCCCAGGCCAGATCGTCACCACCACCGGCTGGATTGAGCGTGTTGTCATGCTGCTGGCCAGCGTTCTCACGCACGCTCCGATCTTGAAATCGAGACGCCCTCTTTCCCAATCCTGAGGTAGAAGCAAGGGCAGCATACGGATCGTTGGTTGCTGCCTGTTTCATCCGAACGGTCTCCCGACGATTCGACGGTCCAGCATCTTCCGAGTGACCCAAGGTCCTCATCTCATCGTAGAAGCGAAGGTCCTGTCTCACAACAGGACGCTCCTTACGATGCCGATTGGGTCCCTCAGATTCTGTGCGCTTTCCTTGAGCACGCTCTCGACGTCTCTGCCGTTTACGTCCATTACCGGCCTTACCACCGGTTGCATGACCACGCTTTCCACTATAGCGGTGGTTGCGTGCTCCTCGTGCCCTCCCCCCTCTCCTACCGTCGTCATCACTCCCGGACTCAGATTCAGCGTCATCACTCTCGTCCTCCTCCTCATCATACTTCTCCTCGCTCCCGGAGGAACTCCCTGATTCCTCCTCAGAACTATCATCTTCATCTGAAGATTCCACCTCTGCAACGGCCTTCTTTCCAGCATTTCTGGCCCGTGCCTTCACTCTCCCTGACACCCCTCTCTGATCATCTAACTCTGCGCCACGTCTCTCCCTCCCACCCTCCCCATGACCACGAACATTCTGTGCATCATCCGCACAGGCACCTGCTGGAGTAGAGGGAGAAGACTCATCACGCGTCATATCACGCTCTCCCTCACGCTTCACCTCACGCTCTCCCTCGTGCTGCACATCACGCTCTCCCTCATGCTGCACATCACGCTCTCCCTCACGCTTCACAACACGCTCTCTTTCACGCTCTCCCTCTCGCTCTCCCTCTCGCTCTCCCTCTCGCTCACCTTCTCGCTCTCCCTCTCTCTCAGCCTCACGCTCTCCCTCCCGCCTGCCATCACGCCTGCCCTCCCGCCTGCCCTCACGCCTGCCCTCACGCTCACCCTCTCTCCTGCCCTCACGCTCTCCCTCACGCTCGTCCTCACGCTTATGCCCTTTCTCTGGCTGTTGCTCCTCGTCGTCTGCATCTTCTCCATGTCCTGTTGCACCCGCTGCGTCTTGTTTTCCCCTTTTCTTGCTCTTGGCACCGGCGCGTGTACCTACAACACGCATCAAGACGATATGCTCAGATAATACGAGGGCCGCACCTCTCTGGATTGTGTGCATACACAGCCAGGCTAACAACGAGCAACTTTAAGACATACAAACGCAGAATGGATATAAAAGCTTGATCCGTACCTTTCCTCCCTGTAGCAGGTTTACACTGGTCCAACGGCTTCAGCTTTCGACCGTTCCTCCGCCCGCGTGAACTGCTGCGACCAACCTTGCCATTGTATGCCTCTTCCTCAGATTGCTCACCATCCGAAGAAGATGCCCCTTCCGATTCCAACTGGGCATCGCGTGCAGGAAGCGTGTTCTTCCGACGATACCTCACAACTAGGTGCGAGGTATCATGAGGCGTCATCTTGTCGTGCAGCTTCTGTTCTGCGTCGGTTCTCGCGTCGCCCGAGAGTTGTAGAGCTCCAGCGCTACCGAGGAGCGCACTAGCATTGGCCGGATCGGTAACGATGATGTCCGCCATCTCTCTAACAATTCTGCTAAACAAGCACAATTAACGGCTACCGAACTGAGCTATGAAACCCACGTGCTCAGAGATTCTATAAATAGGCCTTAGAGACTCAAGGAACAGCAGCGCGCGAGCTGGACATGCCTGCCAGAACAGCAGCGCGCAATCGCACTACGTGCCCACGAAACGCGCCGACCAAAGTCGTGCAAGATAGAACAGCCGCGACACGCGTCATTTCTGGACGCGCCGTCCGAGAACAGAACCGCGGCGCCAAACCATGACGAACCTACAACGAGACCAGCACCGCCGCGCCAAGCAGTACAAGCCTACTACGAGACCAGCACCACCGCGCCACGAGCCTATTCTGTTCCTGCACCGCCGCGCCAAAGGAGGACGTGCCTACTACGAGAACAGCACCGCCGCGCCAAGCAGGACGTGTCTACTAGTATGAGAACAGCACCGTGACAACTATTACGTGGCTAGCACAAACAGCTTCTCACTTTGCATAGAGTGCCAGAGGAACCATCTACATGGACGAACAGATAGCAGTTGCTTGACGTACCTACCGTAGAGGGATATCGTGAGGAGAACCTAACTGCTACCAGCTAGACAAACTGGGTGCTTCGGGCGTGGAGGGTATCGTGGCCTCCCCTCTTGATCGAGCGTCGGCTCCAGATCCTTGTTCCTGTAACGAATTCCCACATGGCAGCACGCTGGGTGGTGGTGGTGGATCACGACAGTTCAACTGCCCTTGAAGTTGCAGGGCACGCGATGGCAATGCGCCATTATTTCAAATCCTAGTTTTGAGCAGCCTAATAGGGCTAGTCGCGGGGGCGTTCGAGTAAGTAATTACAAGCGTGAGTACGGGAACCGAACCAGGCCTTTGCCGCACTACAAAATAACAAGGACAAAAAAAAAAAACACCAATGTGACAGCAGCAATTTGAAAGAGCGTTGTCCGTGCACTAGCGCGCTTCGAGCCGTGGTGGATTTCGAACATCGCGGTACGTGAGTGCCCCTCGTGGTTGCGTTGAAATTTCGATTTTGTAGCACCACTCTTTGTAGCGAGGATGTTCCTGGGCTGACGTTATTTGAGTATGACGAATTAGGGTAATATGGAATACTTGTTTACATAAACTAACTTATAAAGTAGTTAAGAATAGGGTGTTTCGAAACAGCAATCCTTCATGCATAAACTAGCAGTCTAGGAAACAACATATACCTCAACCAAAATCATCATTGGCGATATAGGGTGAATACTAGGCGTGAGTGCCATCACACTCTGTCTTTAACAACGTCCAAGTCTACAGCCATCAATACGCACTATGCAATTGTTGAGAGCAAGCACAGTCAGTTTCACACCAACAACTGGCATGCCATGTAGATGTTGCATCTCTGGTGAATATAGCCCCGGCGTAGTGGCCTCATTGCTGCATTCATCGGCCGATGCATACCACCTTATCTAGGGTGCTGCAATAGAACGATTATGTGTTTCCCGGGCGCGCTTGTAATCGTGTTTCTACGAGTCCATAGGGTATGCAATGGATTTCTTATAGCTTACTGTCCGGTGTAAATCAGTTATCAAACTGTCAGGCAAGTTTGCATCAAACGATGAGCAGTACAACGCAGCAGAACGTCAGGTGCTAATGCATGTCACTAACTACTAGCAAGCAGGCTTAGGGGTTTCGATCAGCCTGGATCAAACTACTTGCATGGTCCAACGACACAGGACCACTTAGCCAAATCGTGACGATATTGGCGCCTCCACTGTCTTGGTGTCCCGACCAGGTCACACGCATTCAAACAGTCGAACTTGGTCTCGACAAGCGTATGAATGACACGCATCACAAAAACGCCGCAGTCATTCTCGTTGTCCTGCTGGCGCACCTGCAGATTGCACAAAAATCAGGTGATTCATACAAGGCGTTACCATGAGCAGCTTTCAGCGCTCCAGCCCCTTCCCCCCCCCCCCTACCCGCCCCCCCCACCTTCCCTGCTCATCCGCGCATCCCATGCCTTCTCCATGCGCATCACACAACTCACACTCCGGAGTAGGAGCAGGGAAGGGCGGAGAGGAGTAGGAGCAGGGAAGGGCGGAGAGGAGTAGGAGCAGGGAAGGGCAGAGAGGAGTAGGTGCAGGGAAGGGCGGAGAGGAGTAGGAGCAGGGAAGGGCGTAGAGGAGTAGGAGCAGGGAAGGGCGTAGAGGAGTAGGAGCAGGGAAGGGAGGAGAGGGGTAGCAGCAGGGAAGGGAGGAGAGGAGTAGCATCAGGGAAGGGCGGAGGGGAGTAGCAGAAGGGAAGGGGAGGAGAGGAGTAGGAGCAGGGAAGGGAGGAGAGGAGTAGCAGCAGGGAAGGGAGGAGAGGAGTAGGAGGGGGGAAGGGAGGAGAGGAGTAGGATGGGGGAAGAGAGGTGAGGAGTAGGAGGGGGGAAGGAAGGAGAGGAGCAGCAGCAGGGAAGGGAGGAGAGGAGCAGCAGTAGGGAAGGGAGGAGAGGAGCAGCAGCAGGGAAGGGAGGAGAGGAGCAACAGCAGGGAAGGGAGGAGATGAGTAGCAGCAGGGAGGGAGGAGAGGAGTATCATCAAGGAAGGGAGGAGAGGTGTAGCAGCAAGGAAGGGAAGAGAGGTGTAGCAGCAAGGAAGGGAGGAGAGGAGTAGCAGCAGGGAAGGGAGGAGAGGAGTAGCAGCAGGGAAGGGAGGAGAGGAGTAGCAGCAGGGAAGGGAGGAGAGGAGTAGCAGCAGGGAAGGGAGGAGATGAGCAGCAGTAGGGAAGGGATGAGAGGAGTAGCAGCAAGGAAGGGAGGAGAGGAGTAGCAGCATGGAAGGGGAGGAGAGGAGTAGCAGCCTGGAAGGGGAGGAGAGGAGTAGGAGCAGGGAAGGGCGGAGAGGAGTAGGAGGGGGGAAGGGAGGAGCATTTAACTTTCTCCGGAGTAGGAGCAGGGAAGGGCGGAGAGGAGTAGGAGCAGGGAAGGGCGTAGAGGAGTAGGAGCAGGGAAGGGAGGAGAGGAGTAGCAGCAGGGTTGGGAGGAGAGGAGTATCCCATACGCGCATCCCATGCCTCTCTATCTTCATCACAAAACCCACCCTCCCCTACTCGTCCGCACATCCCATGCCTTCTCCATGCGCATCACAAAACTCACCCTCCCCTACTCGTCCGCACATCCCATGCCTTCTCCATGCGCATCACAAAACTCACCCTCCCCTACTCGTCCGCACATCCCATGCCTTCTCCATGCGCATCACAAAACTCACCCTCCCATACTCATCCGCGCATCCCATGCCTTCTCCATGCGCATCACAAAACTCACCCTCCCCTACTCGACCGCACATCCCATGCCTTCTCCATGCGCATCACAAAACTCACCCTCCCCTACTCATCCGCGCATCCCATGCCTTCTCCATGCGCATCACAAAACTCATCCTCCCATACTCATCCGCGCATCCCATGCCTTCTCCATGCGCATCACAAAACTCACCCTCCCCTACTCGACCGCACATCCCATGCCTTCTCCATGCGCATCACAAAACTCACCCTCCCCTACTCATCCGCGCATCCCATGCCTTCTCCATGCGCATCACAAAACTCATCCTCCCATACTCATCCGCGCATCCCATGCCTTCTCCATGCGCATCACAAAACTCACCCTCCCCTACTCATCCGCGCATCCCGTGTCTGTCCATGCGCAGCACACAACACCCCCTCCCCTACTCATCAGCGCATACCATGCTTGTTCATGCGCGGCCCGTCCCACACCACTCCTCCCTTAATCCGTTAATTCACATACCGCTATGGCGTTTAACTGAATCGCAGCTGCCCAGGCCTCTGCTTCGGTCTCCGTGACCCACGCGTAGCGCTGCATGACCTGACTCATCAAACACCTGCGCATTGAGACGTACTGCTTGTTAACATCGGTTCCCAACAAGGGCGTTTCATATGCAGCACATATCTCACTTTCTTAATGGCCCATCAATGTCGACGTGAGTTGCATATGAGTCCGCATGCCACAGTACACACTTGATTGGGATAACGGATTCCGGCGCGGCCTTAATTTCGATGACAGCGAGGCTCCAGTGCGCGCTGCAATGCAATCGAGACGTCCAAAGTCGTTAGTTTGCAGCACATGTTTACGTGCAACACATATCCAAAAAGACCCGACCACTTACTCCTTGTTAATCGGAACAAGAACGTGCTTAAACGACAAGATGTCAAGTCCATAGGCCTGCCTAGTGATCCTCTTTGTCTCCGGGCGTGCTACGAGGGTCCAGAAATAAGGCGATGTGCAAAGCCACGACGCATTGTCGAGTCCGTACTCATAATGTAACATTCTGCATGATCGACAAAAAAATATGCAATGTCGGTGCAGCTCGTGAGAAACTATAAACAAGGATTAACACTTCAGATTGCCCTGTGTTCAAAATTGAGCTACTCACGATGAGAGCCACTCGATAACCTTGCCACTGATCCACTGCTCGTTTCCCAGCGTGCGGTAATCTGAGGGCTTGATTTCAAGAGATCCCCCAAACGGGGATGGCATGCTCATGTGCTGGAAACGACATCGACCTAACTTGGGTATGCCCTTCTCCTCCATACCTTGAGATAGCAAACTCGGCTTGATGAGGATCTTGCCTAAGGTAAGGGTCGGAATTCTGTTGCCCAGCCAGCTCAACGAAGAGACGAAGCAGGTACTGTACTGTAGTTCCGGAAGGAGGACCCACATGCCCTTGCCCTTCGTTGGTCAACTTTGTGCTCCCTGCTCCCATACGTCGTCAGCGAATAGCGTGCTCTTGATATCTGGTGGAATTTGTGAACAGTGTTGGGCGGTCTGACAGGATTCTCTGCTCCAATGACATTTTTGCGGCTTGTATTATTCTGACACAATTGGCGTGTACGCGAAAATGATGTCAGGTCCATGTCGCAAGCCGAAACTACCCTCGCCAACTTGTTTCCTGTTGGGTACAAAACCTCGTCAGCTTGCTGCGACAAGAAAGCAGTTCGCGAAACCAGTTACGCCGGGAGATGCTGAGTATGAGAGTCGCAAGGCCCATTCGCCTACCTGCGCGGTTGTCGCGCACCAATAAACAGTGTGACCTAACACTTCGAGCAGTACATCACAAACCCTAACCAATTGCGAACCAACGTCTAACACTCGATGACCATTCGCCAATCAGAGTCACGGCCACCATATGCTCAGACTCAGATCGCGAATTCGTGTGCGCGCCAAATCATTCCCTCGCCTTTCAGTAAACTATCGACCATACGATGGGCGCTAACTCACCACGGTGCAGTGTTACCATTCACGTCTCAAGCTGGTGTGCCAAACACCATTTCCGTCCTACGGACAGATCTGCTCGATGGAGGGTCAGGCTTGCGAGTTCTGTAATAAGCGCGTGTACTGCTATCAAACAGTAGCTAGCCATCAAGCTAACCATGGCGGCTGTAAGCGGGCCCAAAGACGCAAGGCTCAAGAGGCTGCTGAACGAAAGAAGCTGTGTCGTGACGTTGAGAAGCAGTATACCTCTGTCCCGTTATCAACATCCACCCTTCCCGCACCAGCGCATTCAATTCCCTTAGCAGCACTTCCGAACGCAGTAGAGCAGCAGCCCCAGCCGGCACAGCGAATTCCTGATGCGGTTCATACGTGTAGCACCACACTCGTGGTGGAAGAAGCTCCTACAGAGGAAATTCTCGATGTTAAGGCGGAAATATGCATTTTGGCACAATCTCACGGACTTACCAACGGGGCGATTCACGACACGATACAGTTAGTTAGACATCCGAAATTGGATCCAAAGCAGCTGGACGATTGGAACAGCTACAGGGACCTGGAGAAGTACGAGAGCAGCTTTGACCTTGGAGCGGAGCACGAATGGATCGTCGAGGAGATCGAAGTGGATCACGAAGTTGGGTTTCTCACCTTCAAGCGCCGAAACGCGATAACTGTGAGTGTATCCGTCGTGCGGTGTCACGGTCGTCAGAGTGGAATGTGTTCAGTGATGACGACTAGACCAAGAGTCTAAAGGGAACCATCAATCTTACGCCTCTGTTTTCGATCATTGTTTCCATGATTATCACCATCAGCTCCTTCAGGCCATGTTCAAGAAGATGTCGGCTGTCAAGGGATTCAGCATCATGCCTCAAGAGTGGAAAGTTGATGGGGTTCGCCGCTACAGTACCCCTGCAAACACGGATTGGATGCTCGAGGCATGGGTAAGTTCCACGTCATCTCATGTCGCTTTGGACACGAGCATCGAAACCTAGGATCCAATACATCTATCCTTCCCTTTATCATCACTGTGGCAGGAGAGGGTGCGGAAGTTTGGCATAGTTATAGCGCTCATTCTCTTCTCGGACCAGACCAATCTATCGTACAACGGCCGCCAATCTGCCCACCCATTTCTGTTGTCCTTTGGGAATATTCCAGAATGGGCTAGGTGGCTGGAAGGAGGCACTGAGCTTCTCGGGTTCCTGCCGAATATCCCAGCTGACCTCTCTCCAGAAGAAAAGGTTCGAGTGTTCCAAGACGCTGCAGAGATCATGATTCGAGATTTGAAGGCGGCTTCACATCTTTCAGGGTGAGACACTGCTAATGTCACCCAAGGGCGCGCATCCCTTGTACTCTCCAGTATCCACACCACCACTTTTTTCCGTTCCCTGTTTCATACACACTCCACTCCCTTTTTGACCGCCCTTCTCCTCTGTTGTTGTTTTGAATGCGTGCCACCAAGGCGGATTCTGTCATTACTCTCCTGCCAGCTACCATCCGCTTCACCTAATACCGTTCCGGTACCTCCTGTTCCACCATCTCCTGCCGTTTACACCCTCCCTGCTCGCTGTCCCCCTCCTCCTAACCGTCCTTCGTCTGCTTGGTTACAGCATCCCATGCTCACACCATTTATGACATATCTAACATGTTCTCCCATTCTCGCCCTCCCCGTCCCTCTCCCTGTTTTCCCACACATACTAGCGGCTGTGCAGAGGCGGTGTGATGGTGGAAGACAGTGCCGGTGTGCAGTATAGGGCATTCACGCTCCTTTACTCATGGGTGGCGGATCACCCGGAGTCCTCTAAGATCACTTGTACGATGGCATGCAACTCTGGGCATCCGTGCTCGTTGTGCTTGGTGGAAAAGGAGCGATTGGATGAGATGAAATTTGAGTTGACTCAACAGCCTCCTGATAAGAAGCGCCAGGATGAACAGGATGACACCACTGTCCTCGGAAATGACAAGGGTCAGAAGGAATCCGCGACAACCCAAAAGAACCAGGAAGACGCCATTGTCCTCAGAACTGTCAAGGGTCAGAAGGATGCTTACAAGGAGATGGACGACGCGAAAACCAAAAAGAAGCTAAAGGCGGTGAAGAAGAAGTCCTCTACACACTTCGTGAAGGTGCGCTTGTTCTGCGTGCTTCGTAGCGGTTCACACCTGGTTTCCCTCCATATCCACCATGTACTGTGGTGGCTAATATGCTTGAAAACCTAATCCAATCTGCGGCTTGCTGTTCGTATTTATTACCCTGACCCGTCATAGTGACTCTGTGTCCTTGACCCCCAATGCAGAGCCTTTTGTGGGACTGGGAATTTGCAAAAACTCTCTGGGGCAACACGTACCTCGCTGTCCCCCCGGACATCATGCACATCTGGGAGCAGGGCATATGGCTGCATGCCATGAAGTGCCTTGTGAAGAAGCTGACTCCACAGGAACGGAAGATTCTTCTGGAGTGCTTGCTTCCCCCTCCCTGCTTCATGCTACTCCCCTCCGTGCTTGCTTCCCCCTCCCTGCTTCATGCTACTCCCCTCCGTGCTTGCTTCCCCCTCCCTGCTTCATGCTACTCCCCTCCGTGCTTGCTTCCCCCTCCCTGCTTCATGCTACTCCCCTCCGTGCTTGCTTCCCCCTCCCTGCTTCATGCTACTCCCCTCCGTGCTTGCTTCCCCCTCCCTGCTTCATGCTACTCCCCTCCGTGCTTGCTTCCCCCTCCCTGCTTCATGCTACTCCCCTCCGTGCTTGCTTCCCCCTCCCTGCTTCATGCTACTCCCCTCCGTGCTTGCTTCCCCCTCTCTGCTTCATGCTACTCCCCTCCGTGCTTGCTTCCCCCTCCCTGCTTCATGCTACTCCCCTCCGTGCTTGCTTCCCCCTCCCTGCTTCATGCTACTCCCCTCCGTGCTTGCTTCCCCCTCCCTGCTTCATGCTACTCCCCTCCGTGCTTGCTTCCCCCTCCCTGCTTCATGCTACTCCCCTCCGTGCTTGCTTCCGCCTCCCTGCTTCATGCTACTCCCCTCCGTGCTTGCTTTCCGCGCCCTGCTGAACTGTTTCTCACGTCTAGGCGATACAAGATCTTGAAGGAGGTCACACCAGCTTCCGTGCTCCGTCTTCCTTCGGCGTGGGCCTACTTCACATCCACTGCCTGCTTTTCAGCTTCAGAGCATCGGGCAATGATGCAGGTCCTGCCCCTCATCATCGATCTCCCAGGACGAGAAGATATTCGCACAGCCATTGTGCTTATGGTCGAGTGGTACAAGGAGTTCATCCGCGCTGAGTACCATACCGATGACTCTCTGAAACGGATGAAAGACGCCACCATCAAGTAATTACTCCGTCTTTTTGGTGGTTTCCCAAGCCATTCAATGCCACATGCACACAGTTTCCTTGTCTCAACCGTACCTTACATGCTCCACCCACCCTCTTTCATAGGCTTGCCTTCTCTGTTCATTTGTTGCCAGCCTTACCATATTTCTCCCAACGCACCATGTCCTCCTCTTTCCCTTCTCTTCATCCAGTCACAATGCACATTACATCCCATTTGTACAATACCGAGCTTGTTGCTCAGCTCCATACCAGCTTCACCTTCATACTCACCTGTTTCTCCATTCCGTGCAAAAATCTCCCAGGCTCCATAGTACGAGTACTCCATGACCTTTGGCTGCACTCCTTCCATCAAGGTTTTGCATGACACATCTTCTCCCTCTGAACTGCATCGCTGTCATTCCATAACCCACCTTCCTGATCCCTCCTTCCGTGTTTCTCTTTTCGCGAATGCTTCCTCACTCCCCCTCCCGCATCCCGTTTCTCCCTTCCCGGCCTGCTTCCCCCCCCCTTAACTGCATGCGCTGTATCTAAATTTTATTCCCAGGATGGTGAAGGCTCTTCGTGTCGCTTTCCCAAAGCAGGAGTCAAAGTGGAAACTTGTTAAGATTCATCTCCTCGCTTCACCTCCCATCAACCATACGTCTTCGGGGGATCCCTGCCGAGTACTCGTCGAACTGCTACGAGCACTCCCACAAGACCACTGTGAAGCGTCCTTCACGTGGCACCAACTGGAAGAATGTTGAAGATCGAATTGTCCGGAAACACCTGGAGCATGCGGTAGTTAGACAACTAGCGCGGGAGGCCGGCGGGGACAGCACGTACGAGACCTCGATGAAAGAGGTGAGCTTTACAAATCTGCTCATGCTCTCTCCCCCATGCTCTGTTTCCTTGCTCGGTTCTCATGCTCTCTCCCCCTGCTCTGTTTCCTTGCTCGGTTCTCAGTGCTCTCTCCCCCTGCTCTGTTTCCTTGCTCGGTTCTCTTGCTCTTTCCCTCTGCTCTGTTTCCCTGCTCCCTTCTGTTGCTCTCTGCCCCTGCTCTGTTTTGTGGTTTCCCAATTCTCTTGCTCTCTCCCCTGCTCTGTTTCGCTGCTAGTTTCTCATGCTCTCTCCCCCTGCTCTGTTTCCACTGCTCGGTTCTCATGCTATCCCCCCCTGCTATGTTTCCCTGCACGGTTCTCATGCTCTCCCCCCCTGCTATGTTTCCCTGCACGGTTCTCATGCTCTCCCCCCCTGCTATGTTTCCCTGCACGGTTCTCATGCTCTCCCCCCCTGCTCTGCTTCACTGCTCAATTCTCTTTCTCTCTCCCCGTGCTCTGCTTCCCTGCTTGTTTCTCATGCTCTCTCGCCTTCTCTGTTTCCCTGCTCGGTTCTCATGCTCTCTCCCCCTGCTCTGTTTCCATGCTCGGTTCTCATGCTCTCTCCCACTGCTCTGTTCCCAATGGTCATTTCCCCTTCTTTGTGTTCTGCTCTGTCACCCTGCTATGTTCCATGATGTGTCGCCCCTACTCAACGCCCTGTTCTGTTTCCCAGCTCTGTTCCCTGCACTGCTTCCATGCCATGTTCCATTCTGTGTCTGCCCTCCTCGATGCCCTGCGCTGTTCCCTTCACTGGTTCTCTGCTTTGTTCCATTCTGTGTCTGCCCTCCTCTGTGCCCTGCGCTGTTCCCTTCACTGGTTCTCTGCTTTGTTCCATTCTGTGTCAGCCCTCCTCGATGCCCTGCGCTGTTCCCTTCACTGGTTCTCTGCTTTGTTCCATTCTGTGTCTGCCCTCCTCTGTGCCCTGCGCTGTTCCCTTCACTGGTTCTCTGCTTTGTTCCATTCTGTGTCTGCCCTCCTCGATGCCCTGCGCTGTTCCCTTCACTGGTTCTCTGCTTTGTTCCATTCTGTGTCTGCCCTCCTCTGTGCCCTGCGCTGTTACCTTCACTGGTTATCTGCTTTGTTCCATTCTATGTCTGCCCTCCTCTGTGCTCTGCGCTGTTACCTTCACTGGTTCTCTGATTTGTTCCATTCTGTGTCTGCCCTCCTCGATGCCCTGCGCTGTTCCCTTCACTGGTTCTCTGCTTTGTTCCATTCTGTGTCTGCCCTCCTCTAGTGCCCTGCGCTGTTACCTTCACTGGTTCTCTGCTTTGTTCCATTCTGTGTCTGCCCTCCTCTGTGCCCTGCGCTGTTACCTTCACTGGTCCTCTGCTTTGTTCCATTCTGTGTCTGCCCTCCTCGGTGCCCTGCGCTGTTACCTTCACTGGTTCTCTGCTTTGTTCCATTCTATGTCTGCCCTCCTCTGTGCCCTGTGCTGTTACCTTCACTGGTTCTCTGCTTTGTTCCATTCTGTGTATGCCCTCCTCGATGCCCTGCGCTGTTCCCTTCACTGGTTCTCTGCTTTGTTCCATTCTGTGTCTGCCCTCCTCGATGCCCTGCGCTGTTCCCTTCACTGGTTCTCTGCTTTGTTCCATTCTGTGTCTGCCCTCCTCGATGCCCTGCGCTGTTACCTTCACTGGTTCTCTGCTTTGTTCCATTCTGTGTCTGCCCTCCTCTGTGCCCTGCGCTGTTACCTTCACTGGTTCTCTGCTTTGTTCCATTCTGTGTCTGCCCTCCTCGATGCCCTGCGCTGTTCCCTTCACTGGTTCTCTGCTTTGTTCCATTCTGTGTCTGCCCTCCTCTGTGCCCTGCGCTGTTCCCTTCACTGGTTCTCTGCTTTGTTCCATTCTGTGTCAGCCCTCCTCGATGCCCTGCGCTGTTCCCTTCACTGGTTCTCTGCTTTGTTCCATTCTGTGTCTGCCCTCCTCGATGCCCTGCGCTGTTCCCTTCACTGGTTCTCTGCTTTGTTCCATTCTGTGTCTGCCCTCCTCGATGCCCTGCGCTGTTCCCTTCACTGGTTCTCTGCTTTGTTCCATTCTGTGTCTGCCCTCCTCTGTGCCCTGCGCTGTTCCCTTCACTGGTTCTCTGCTTTGTTCCATTCTGTGTCTGCCCTCCTCGATGCCCTGCGCTGTTCCCTTCACTGGTTCTCTGCTTTGTTCCATTCTGTGTCTGCCCTCCTCTGTGGCCTGCGCTGTTCCCTTCACTGGTTCTCTGCTTTGTTCCCTTCTGTGTCTGCCCTGCTCTGTGTCATGTTCTGTAAGCCATTCTCTTTGCCCCAATGTCTGGTTCCCTGCTCTCTGCATGAGTTGGCAATCACATTTAGGACCAACGCTAACCGAAGTAATCGATTCCTACCCCCCCATCCCCTTCTTCGTCCCCACAACCTCTGACCCTTTCCCCCACACCCATTCCCCCTCTCCCTGGCCCGCTCCTTCGCCTAAAACCCCGCCTCCATCCGCTATCCCCTGCCCCTCCTCCTCCCTCCAGAAGCACTCACCATTCAACCCTCCCCCTCCCTATACCATCCCTCTCCTCTCCACGGTGACAGGCATGCCTGAAGGGCCGGAGGGTGCTTACAAAGACCCACAAGAAGATGGTCCTGGGGGACATCACCGACTCAGTGTTTTGGAGCTACGTCTTGACTGTTGGGGAACCTGCCATGAGTGCGATGGTTGTGCGCCTCAAACGGGCAGGCATCAACACGCAAGTCTTGCAGGTGCATTCCTGGTCATGGCAGGCCCGCTTCCCCCTCTCCTGCATGCTTTCCACCCACGGCAGCCCCGCTTTCCCCTCTCCTGCATGCTTTCCACCCACGCCAGCCCCGCTTCCCCCTCTCCAAAATGCTTTCCACCCACTCCAGCCCCGCTTCCCCCTCTCCTGCATGCTTTCCACCCACTCCAGCCCCGCTTCCCCCTCTCATGCATGCTTTCCACCCACTCCAGCCCCGCTTCCCCCTCTCATGCATGCTTTCCACCAACGCCAGCCCCGCTTCCCCCTCTCCTGCATGCTTTCCACCCACTCCAGCCCCGCTTCCCCCTCTCATGCATGCTTTCCACCCACACCAGCCCCGCTTCCCCCTCTCCTGCATGCTTTCCACCCACTACAGCCCCGCTTCCCACTCTCATGCTGCTTTCCACCCACGCCAGCCCCGCTTCCCCCTTTCCTGCATGCTTTCCACCCACGCCAGGCCCGCTTCCCCCTCTCCTGCCTGCTTTCTTCCCACGCCAGCCCCGCTTCCCCCTCTCCTGCATGCTTTCCACCGACGCCAGGCCCGCTTCCCCCTCTCCTGCATGCTTTCCACCCACTCCAGCCCCGCTTCCCCCTCTCCTGCATGCTTTCCACCCACGCCAGCCCCGCTTCCCCCTCTCCTGCATGCTTTCCACCCACGCCAGCCCAGCTTCCCCCTCTCCTGCATGCTTTCCACCCACGCCAGCCCCGCTTTCCCCTCTCCAAAATGCTTTTCCACCCCCTCCAGCCCTTAGCCAATTCCCATCTTTCGGTGTGCTCTCCATCGCCTCCTTCGCACCCAAAACCCATTTTCTTGGTTCATGCTCGTGGTTTCAGGTGCACACGGCTCTTGCGATTCCGCCCCACGACAAGATGGAGTGGACGTCAAGAGGGCAGTTTGTCAAGGCTAGCCCGGGCGAGAAGAACTTCTCCTCTGTTGCAATCAACCTTGCAGGGAAGGGATCCCCCTGGTACGGCCGTTGTCTTGTCCTGTTTCACTACAGCAGAGATGGTGAGCTGAGGCGCAGAGCATACGTGGAGTATTACACCGAGGACAAGCGACTATGCCCGTCAACAGGATGCAAGCGCCTTCTACCCACAGAGGGCGAGGATAATTTTGCAGTGATTGATGTCGACTGCATTCTCAGTCTCGTGCACATCGTTCCCTCGTGTGAGGACGATGAAGTGAGCCTTCTTAATAGGTTCGTTTGGTGAGGACTAGCAAACGTAGAAAACTTTAACGCGTTTTGACTTTGGTGAACATCAAATTGACCCCCGACTACAGATTTTTTAGGTCTTGTTAGAATCTTATAGATGTGAAATTTCCCTCAACTTGTTAAACAAGACTCTTGGAAACACTAGTTACGTAGGGAATTACATCATTTTTGGAAACATGCAAATGTAACAAATACACAAAAGTCTAAACGAGGAATTCTAGGAGAGAACAAATTTCCCGCAATCTGCTCCCACACGAAGAGACTTGCTCGACTATCTGTTAGCCCCGGAACCCTAATGCTGCGCACAGGCAAGAAACAGTTAGGAGCAAACATTCAGAATGTGCCTGGAAAACATCTCGCCAAAGACAAACGTTTTTTAGACTTTCCCCGTACGTTTTTCAAATGATCGTCAAACGTACGATCGGCCGTCGGAATGTCAGATGATTTTCAGACACACGCATTTTTGTGATGCAGGCTTGGAGAGGTACACATAGGGGGCCGGTAAGAAGGTGGTGTAGCATCAGTCAGATAGAGCGCGCTTTATTAGCAGAGCACCCAGATGGTCCTGGATACATTGGTGTTTAAAAAAAAAGGGTTTTAAGAAACACAAATGTAGGGCGACAGGAAGGGAGAGGAGGGGAAGAGAGAACACGAGAAGCAAAGACAGGAATCTCCTCTTCTTCTATGTATTTCAAAATCTGATTGTATCCACAGTGTGAAAAGAGGCAGGGAGGCGAGGCTTGCACCAGACCTTGACATCAGTGTAAGTAGGTGGGGGCCACTGAAAGTGGCAGAAGAAACAAGAGCAAAAGGCCAGAACTGAAGCCAGGAGGAGGAACAGAGTAAGATAGGACGCATGAGGAGTGGATGGAGCAGCAATGACGGCGGGACGAAGACCTCAGCCTGGCATAGCTTATGCAACGTGGCCCTGGCAGCTCTTCTTGTTACTGGAGACGAAAGACTGAGGAAAACTAAGCTCACGCATGCGTGTGAGGGAAGCCGGAGCGAGCACACAACGAGGGAACTTGAAACGACAGGGCTTGGGAGAACAGAAATGGTAGCGAAAGAAACTTGAGACGTTGCTGGACATGCTCAAATTCCATAAGTTGACTCACAAACGTGGCTTGAGAGACAACTTACAGACCCTGGCCATAAATTAAGCCAGAATTGGCTCGGCCATCGCAAAAAGTATTAGGCCAGAGTAGTAGCATGGGATAAGTGAGTGGAAGGGGTTATTGGTGGTGGTAAGGAGCGCAATGGAATTGTTTTCGGTGAAGCTCAGAATTAGCAACTGATGAGACAACGTGACAGCTGCAAAAATGATCATGCTCGTAGGTGGTCAGAAGCTAGGCCAGTCACAGTTGGTCACCTGTAAAGGAATCACAAGTCTGGTCCATCAGAGGCTGGAAAACGTGCTTGGTTAGTCACTGACTAGGTTGGTCGTAGGCTGGTTGAATCATAGCCTTTGTCTGTCACTAGCGAGCATACTGTGTAAATCCACTGGCCTTTGGCAATCCATAATGCACTCGGAACTACGCATTACACTATACAAGAATACTACAGGGCGATTAAAGAACAACTTTTATCGCCCCGCCGTGCAAATTGGCATATTGTCAGATTGACGCAAAAAAAAAGAGAAGAAATGCTCTACATTCATATCGCCACCTCCTTCCCAATCCATTGACCACCCTGAACCACCCTGACCGTATCAGCCTTACCCGACGTTTTCTGTCCACACAAATTTGCTGCACTTGTTCTGTCGCACAGTTTCCAACAACGGCATCTTACCCTCCTCCCCTCAATCCGGCACCTAGCCTAGCTGTATCCCAGCCAAATCAAGACGAGATTTTCAGTCCTGGTAGCGATTCAAATCCCAAACAAGCAGCGAACCTTAACAAATCTCCATCGTCATATGTGATTGTGAATCAAATCTAACCACTGCTTACAGGATAACTCAGGTCCGTCAGGAACTGGGCCAGTTGGGAGCTAGGCTAACTATGTTGGTCAAAGGCTAGGTCAGTCACACGAAAGGTCAGTCACACGAAAGGTCAGTCACACGAAAGGTCAGTCAGAGGCAAGACCCTCACAAGATAGGTCCATCGAATCTAGCCCCCCCACACGCTAGGTTAGTCAGGGCCTATGATAGTCATTCAGAGGCCAAGTTGGTGACAAGCTGGGTAAGCTACAAGCTAGGTCACTCACAGATTAGGCCAGTCGGAGGCTGCAACAGTCCCAAGCTCGGCCAATCACCAGTAAGGTTAAGCACAAGCAAGAACAAACAGAAACCAGGTCACTCGCAGGTAGGACAATGACAAGGCAGGTCAGTCAGATGCTAGGACACTAACAGGCGAATATAGGCGAAAATGAAAGTACTTTCATGAGAGAGGGAAGGGGGGGGGGGGGGGAGGGGGGGAGGGGGGGAGGGGGGAGGGGAGGGGGGGGGGGGGGGTGGGTGTGGGGGGGGGGGGGGGGGGGAGAGGTTGCAGATCAATGTTTCCATGAAAAATAATGAACTCAACATCATGTGTTCCTGGCGAGGCGAGTATCACTTGCCTCGCTGTGATCATTTTCTTATCCGTGACAAATAGGTAGGTTACTCGCCTTTTTGGACGAGTAAAGAGTAAAACTCGCGTCACCTCGTTACTAAAACAAGTCGCTATTTGCTCATGCCTAGTCCCAGGCTAGGCCAAGCACAAGCAAGCCCGACACAGATTAGGTCAATCATAGGTTAGCCTCGACAAATGTGGGGTCACTTGCAGTTAGGTCAGAGATAACCTAATCATCAGCTTGGGGTCGCTCTGCCTTCGCACCCTGAAATCAAGCATAGACTGTTTCTAACTTGGGCACCTAGCGATTAGCTTTAGGCTGTTTCTACTATGTTAGCATCGCTAAGAGATCCATTTCATAGCGTGGTAATTCTTGACTGCGTAGTGACAGCGTGAGTTTCTGAACCAGGGCAACGAAACACACCAGGGAAACAATGAGAGCCTAAAATAAAGCCCAAGTCAGTCCGAGCCCGGGTCAATGAGAGCCCAGGACAATGAGAGCCCAGGTCAATGAGAGCCCAGGTCAATGAGAGCCCAGGTCAATGAGAGCCCAGGTCAATGAGAGCCCAGGTCAATGAGAGCCCAGGTCAACGAGAGCCCAGGTCAATGAGAGCCCAGGTCAACGAGAGCCCAGGTCAACGAGAGCCCAGGTCAATGAGATTCCAGGTCAATGAGAGCCCAGGTTCATGAGAGCCCAGGTCAATGAGAGCCCAGGTCAATGAGAGCCCAGGTCAATGAGAGCCCAGGTCAATGAGAGCCCAGGTCAATGAGAGCCCAGGTCAACGAGAGTCCAGGTCAACGAGAGCCCAGGTCAACGAGAGCCCAGGTCAATGAGAGCCCAGGTCAATGAGAGCCCAGGTCAATGAGAGCCCAGGTCAATGAGAGCCCATGTCAATGAGAGCCCAGGTCAACGAGAGCCCAGGTCAATGAGAGCCCAGGTCAATGAGAGCCCAGGTCAACGAGAGTCCAGGTCAACGAGAGCCTAGGTCAACGAGAGCCCAGGTCAATGAGAGCCCAAGTCAATGAGAGCCCAGGTCAATGAGAGCCCAGGTCAATGAGAGCCCAGGTCAATGAGAGCCCAGGTCAATGAGAGCCCAGGTCAATGAGAGCCCAGGTCAACGAGAGTCCAGGTCAACGAGAGCCCAGGTCAACGAGAGCCCAGGTCAATGAGAGCCCAGGTCAATGAGAGCCCAGGTCAATGAGAGCCCAGGTCAATGAGAGCCCATGTCAATGAGAGCCCAGGTCAACGAGAGCCCAGGTCAATGAGAGCCCAGGTCAATGAGAGCCCAGGTCAACGAGAGTCCAGGTCAACGAGAGCCCAGGCCAGGTCAACGAGAGCCCAGGTCAATGAGAGCCCAGGTCAATGAGAGCCCAGGTCTATGAGAGCCCAGGTCAATGAGAGCCCAGGTCAATGAGAGCCCAGGTCAATGAGAGCCCAGGTCAATGAGAGCCCAGGTCAATGAGAGCCCAGGTCAATGAGAGCCCAGGTCAATGAGAGCCCAGATCAATGAGAGCCCAGGTCAATGAGAGCCCAGGTCAATGAGAGCCCAGGTCAACGAGAGCCCAGGTCAACGAGAGCCCAGGTCAGTGAGAGCCTAGGTCAACGAGAGCCTAGGTCAACGAGAGCCTAGGTCAATGAGAGCCCAGGTCAACGAGAGCCTAGGTCAACGAGAGCCTAGGTCAATGAGAGCCCGGGTCAACGAGAGCCCAGGTCAACGAGAGCCCAGGTCAGTGAGAGAGCTGGGTCACATGCTTAGACGGTCATTGCCTGGGTGAGTGACAGCGTGACTCCGTGAACCAGGGCGAAAGCAGCAATGCTAATATGGGCAACGAATGCGTCAAGGGGCTCTGCTAGTCTCTTGGCAGTGTGCAGAATCCGTAAGCAACTCCGTGTGTAACCAACAGTTGCGCATCGACCCCCTCTGACAGACTAGAAGCGCCTAGACCACGAGTTGTGAGCCTCAGGCTTGCAAAGATTTGAAAGCGAAGGTCTGACTGGGGAATGGATGTGGAGGCTTACCTCTAACTAGGGTTTCTTAGACTATCGTTTCCGCGGCTCGAAGTGTCCCAGCGGCGGCGCGGTACGTCGATCTGCAGCGCGTGGCGCGTGATGGCGCGACGCGGCAAATTCGAAAGTGTTGCGACGGAGCGAGCGGACCAAAAAATAGTGACGAGAGCACAGGATGCGCGGAGTATAGTACGAGTCGCAAAGGGAATGGCGCCGCCGCGAGTCGTAGTGGTTCGTAGAGGCGATTCGAGTCGCCTTCTCTTGCGATGGGAGATAGCGCTCTTGCAATGCACGCCTAGTATGCGTCACGACTCAGATTATGGTGGCTAGACATAGCTGTACACCCTAATGCTCACTCAACCGCCCACTCTGAACACGCTCACTGCCACTCCATACGCCCAGTGGTCGACATTCACAGCCAACGGCCCGCGCGTTACTAGCCCACGACAAAACTAAGATATTCTTGACCTCGAATAAGTTCTTCGAGTTTCCCAGACAAGACACGCTAGCCTACCCAAATACAGTCCCATTCTCCCCATGGGGAGCGCGTGCACGAGAGAGGAGCACAGGGGAAGATGGAGAAGGGGACTGAAATAGGCATCAGGTGTAGTAGGAAGGAGTCATACGGGAGGTCAGATTATGACCCAGTACTCGAATTTCGAGTTCGACACAACCGTTCCATTTTAGAATCCACAGCCGATTACCATTTGTATGTTACCACCCGTGTTTTGCGAGATGAAATTTATCTCGCACACCTATTAGTTCCGCGAAGTTAACTGCCAAACAAGCAGGCCCTGCGTCGTTCTCATTTCGCCCAAGCACGGCCGTAATCAAGGTACGAATTTGGGACGCGACTCCAAATTCGATGCCTGAGTTTGTGAGTTAGCTGTTGCCATCCTAAACATGGTTCGTATTCCTTTGTTGGTTTGTCGACCAACATTTGTTTGTAGTACCCCACTAGCTGTACTTTTGCAACTTCGTGCTTCTTCGTTGAATGAGGCGAGTGGTAACCGAGCATCAACTAGGCAAACCATGCAAGCTGAACTACTGTCGTAGAATAGGTTCAAGTGGGCTCTTGCAATGTCGGGCACACACATATGCTCACATGCTCCTCCCACCATCTTAGTTTCCGCAAAATCTACGAGTCGCGTGGCGTTTCTAGTTATCACAAGCGCTTGTGGTATCCGGATTCACAAGCGATCACAAGCGCACTGATACCGAATGCTGATTTTTTTTTTTTTGGGCGTATATGGCGCTTCCCTGCTTCCGTCACGGCGTCCTACAGAGTGGCGCCGCATTTTGAGCGACTAGCGCGTGCAGTCGCTCGCTGCTCGGGTCGATCTCGCTCTGAAAGAAAGCTCCAAGCGCAGCAATCTAGTTTAGAGACGTCTCAAAACGCGCTATCTGGAAAAAAGCTCCAAGCGCATCATTTTGCGATCTGGCGACCCTGTGTGCGACACTCAGTCGCGTTCGTCCATCTCTTCGCGTTGAGAGCTATGATCGAATCTCCACGCCACCCTGCCATGAGAATTCATCAGTGCGGAGTTTAGGGTTGACCATCGTAGCTGTTCCTGTTTGCCATCATGTCGACCAATGAGAGCCGAGCGCTGCTCTCGCCGCGACTTGCCACAAGCAATGCCATCCAGGTCAAATCGATCACGGAATCGAGTCGGCCTATGGCGAATAGCGAAGATGTTATCGTGCCAGCGGACCTGGAAGATGACGTTGCTGGGTCAGCATCGGCGTTGCGCGTGTCGCCATGGTGCGCGCCGTGGCTGTGGTCGGCGGTTAAGGTGGTGCTGCTCGTGCTGCTCTGGCACACCTTCAGCACGGCGCTCTCCCTGTAAGCATGCTGCTCTAAGCATGGCGCTGTAGCATGCCGCGCTCCCTGCAAGCATGCTGCTCTAAGCATGGCGCTGTAGCATGCCGTGCTCCCTGTAAGCATGCTGCTCTAAGCATGGCGCTGTAGCATGCCGCGCTCCCTGTAAGCATGCTGCTCTAAGCATGGCGCTGTAGCATGCCGCGCTCCCTGTAAGCATGCTGCTCTAAGCATGGCGCTGTAGCATGCCGCGCTCCCTGTAAGCATGCTGCTCTAAGCATGGCGCTGTAGCATGCCGCGCTTCCTGTAAGCATGCTGCTCTAAGCATGTCGCTGTAGCATGCCGCGCTCCCTGTAAGCATGCTGCTCTAAGCATGGCGCTGTAGCATGCCGCGCTCCCTGTAAGCATGCTGCTCTAAGCATGGCGCTGTAGCATGCCGCGCTCCCTGTAAGCATGTCGCTTTTCCTGTGTAGCCACCCTCCCTGTAGTTGCCACTCCCCCAGGGCGTGATCAAATTGCTCACTGGGCTGGCCATCCATCTAAAGGGCCCTTTCGCCCGTTCCTATCTCCCCTTGCAAGCAACCCTTTATCGCCCCCTGCTGTACCTGTGCACTCCCGCTATGCATTGCACTATCGCATCGCCATGCATGTACGCACGGGCGGGGCGGTGGTGAATGGATGGGTGGGTGGGTGGGTGGCGGGGCGGTGGTGGCCGTGGGTGGGTGGGCAGGTACAACAAGGTACTGATCGGTCACAAGGTGCGAGGTAACTTGATGAGTTGACTCAAAAGTGTTTCTAGTCAACTGACTTTTGAGTAGCCTCAAAAGTCACCTCTGCTGCCACTCGTGGCTGCCCGCCTCCCCCATCTCCTGGCGCGACTACTTCGTGCGAGGTTCGCCGTGTGGGTGGGAGGGAGGGATTGAGAATGGGGATGGGCGCGCTCAGGAACTCGTGCTTGCACGTTCTGCAACTTGTCCATTGAGGCTGGTTCGGTTCAGGCGGCTTTCTAATAGATGCTTACTTGTTTAAACGTGTGTTGGCCTGTGCCCTGTGTGCTCTGCCCCGTGCATGCAGTGGTGCCCACGGCAGTGGCCACATCGCTTGACATTGCCCTCTCCAGCTTCTCCCTCGCGCTCGTCACCCGGACCTTCTACTCCATGGTACGCTGTCCTGCCCTTATTCTCCCTCGTCGTCACTGTGCGATATCTTATCCGCTTCATTCACTGCAGTCTCCTTGGTCAAAATGATCCGCTTACGGGGGTTTGCTCAAGCGTGGGTGTACTCAAAAGTGTTTGTGATATCTTATCCGTTGCAGAAAAGGTCCAGTGTGGCACTCAAACTTGGGTGCGCTCCACACACACAGCACGTTGCGATGCATAGAGTAGAAGCATGGGTGGGCACCAGGCTCATCATCTCCGTCGGCGTGCTCGGCATAGGGTGGGGAGGGGGGGGCGAGGGGGAACGGAAGGGAGAACGGAAGGGGGAGGGGGCTGGGAGGGTAATTCGATGACCATCCAACATTTTTTTCTACCGTGCCTCAGTTTTCCTCTTGTATCACTACCATTTCCGTGCGCTCCACCCCCCAATCAGCATTGCAACGCAACGCCTGATTTATACATGGGCGTCGAGCAGAGTTCTTTGACTTAATTCGCGCTTTTGACATTCCGTGTGGTGTGCCCTCGAGTGGCGTGTGGTGCTCCCAGTGGTGGGGGAGACGGAGTTTGAGCTGCTGGGCTTCATCTTCGTCATGCTGGCCTCATTCATGGCGGGTCTCCAATGGGTGCTGCTGCAAGTTCTCCTCCAGGTAAGCTGCTGCTCACTGCTGCTGTGTATGCTGCTGTGTGCTGCTGTGCTACTGTGTGCTGCTGTGCTGCTGCTGTGCTGCTATGTGTGCTGCTGCATCAACCAACTAACCCACTCTTTTCGTCTCCTGTTTACCCTTTACGCTCACAACATCTACTCACCATCTCACCATGCTGTCGTCGCTTCTACTGGTGACAAAGGGACACACTTGGTAAGCATCTGTCGCGTTGCCCCTTCCTCCTCACTCACCTCATATTTCCGGGTGCAGCCCCAGCTCCACAGTGCCTGTGTGCTGTGCTTGCTCTCCCACACGCCACAATCCTCCGGTTTCTCACCCTTCCTCGCATATTTGCTATGGTCACGCCATCCTCATGCCACTATCTCCTTTCCAGTCCTCCTAGTTCCCCTTGCCTCCCACCAACCGCAAGTCCGCCCTCCCTCTACCCCAACAGGCCTGACCAACCTGCTGCTCACGTTGCTGCAGTATCTGGCGCCCGTGATGGCGCTTGTGTGCGGCATCTTCTCGCTGCTGCACGAGCCGTGGTCCTCGCTCGCCTCCTTGCCCTACTTCGACACGTGGCCTCACGCCCTCTGGACCCTCGCCGTCATGCCCGTGGGGGGCGTCCTCGCCTTCTGCATGGTGGGTGGGTGTGGGTGTGGGAGGGGGGGGGGGGGGGGGGGGGGGGGGAGGGGGAGGGGGGAGTGGGGGGGGGGGGGGGGGTTGTTTGTGTGTGTGTGTGTACGAGTGCGTGCGTGCGTGCGCGTGTGTCTGTGTGTGCGCGTGTGCGCTCGTGCGCGCGTGCGTGTGTGTGCATGCGTGTGCGTGTATGTGCTGTGTGGCAGGCTGACGCGCAACAAGGAACGTGAGTCTGAAGGCCATCAGGTGCACGCGCTCAGTGATGAGCTCCTCCCTCACCACCCGGGGGCAGGCCCTCGGACCAACTCTAGCTGTCTTTTGAGTCGACTCAAAAGTCATCTGAAGGCCATCGGGTGCAAAAGTTCACTGATGAGCTCCTCCCTCACCACCCGGGCAGGCCCTCCGAGCAACTTTAGCTGCTGCACCACCCCGCCTCGCTCTACTCGTCCGCCCCCCTAGCGTATCATCCCTCCCCCGCATATCCTCTCTCTCACCGCGGCACCCCAGACTCCAGCTTATCCTCACATGTGCTGCTATCCACCAGCATGAGTTCCGTTGATCAAATCAGAATGGCAGGTTCCGCAACCTAGACAAGATGCGGCTGTTTTTCTGGATATAACCGGAAAGTGAGTCCCCCTGGTCTAAAGAGGACCTTTTAAAGTTCAAAAAGTGATACCCTTTTTTCTCTGTTTGTTCCAAGTTATATCTGCACTGCTTACTTGCCAAATATGCAAAATTGGGCTAGTTTGAATGAAGTTACCGATTATATCAAGTGCTTCTCAGATTGACCAGATGCATACAGCCAGGTCCGCTGCAAACGAGTCCACCCTTTCCCCTCGGTTGCTGGTGGGGTTGGTGGTGGCGTCGGTGGGAGGCAGTCAGGCGAGGATCCATCCCCTCTAGTTGTGTTCCATTTCACCTTCATCTGTTTCCCCTCCCTGCATCGGTACACCAAAGAGAAGTTCTTGCATTGATGCCAGATGGTCAAATGTCGGAGAGATCCGTGGGTAATAATAACAGGAACATGCCGTCACTCCTGGGCAACATAACTAGCCGGCTGCTGTTTAGAAGTAGAACGACTTGACACTCTCAAAATGGGGATCAATGGGCAAGGAAGGACAAAATCATGCCGCCACCCTTGGAGAGCAGCAGCAGCAGACTTCCATTCAGCAGCATCCACGCAATGACAAATCGCGGAAATCAGAAATCAACATCGTTGAGCAATGAGCTGCTGTCTATTGCGAGGGCGAGGATGGCGAAGGGTGGGACGAGGCAAAGCCAAGTGCCAGAGGTCCCCAAGGTTTCAATGAAGGCGACGGTGATGAGAGTGGGGATCTTGGCCTTGCACCTGCCGGGTACTGCCTGCAGAGTAGGGGTTGGTAATGGTGGTCGAGGGTGGTAAGGGAAGGAAGGGAAGGCAGGGCAGGCAGGGAGGATGAAGGCTGAGAACTAGCAGAGCTCAGTGCCTGGTGGAAAGGCGCCCAATTGGAATGAGCCAGTCCACTGTTGAGACAGCTCACTGCTCTAACGCTGGCGATGTTGGCTCTGCGTCTGCAAAATAGGGACTGTTGGGATTGAAGGGAAAATGGAAAGGTAGGGGAGATCAAGGGCAGCTCCTCACTTTTGTGGACGGCAAACCACCAGCCCGTGCCACCGGCCTGCACCATGCGCCCCATCAATCATGGGATGGGGTGATGGGGTGATGGGATGATGAGGCAAAGAGCTGGTTGGGTGAAGAGGTGATGGTCTGATTGGTTGATGGGGTAATGGGGATGGTGCTGTGTGGATGGGGTGAACGTGTGATGAAGCAATAAGATCATGAGACTGACTCCTCCAAATTGATGGGTGGACACGAGAGATGATGAGTTGCCAATGGCAGTGGCAGCAAGCCAGATCACAAATTAGAGGAGAGACCCGTTTCGGTAGAAGCAGGTTCGATACAACGCACTACTCACCTCAGTGTAGAGATGAGGGCTTGCTGATCAATGTGTGGGTGTAGAGATGGCAGGGGGTGGATGCTACTGACAGGACTATGCACACTGGTGGGTGATAGGGGAGAAGGGTGGTGAGAGGGAGCAAGAGAGAGCAATGAGGTGATGCAGGATAGGCGGATTGGAGCAGTGTGATGGACGCTGCTTGCTGCACTGTGTTCACCTGGAGAGGTGCGGATGGCAATCGGGATGGAGAATCGGAGGGGCTACAGGAGGGAAAGGGAGAAAGGGGTGGAAATGGGAAAGTGTAAGGGGAAGGGAGAGTGACGGCTGCACTCAGCACACTTAGTGCACCCTGCCACGGTGCTCTGCCATGGGGTAGATGCGATCTTGGGGTGATGAGATCATGGGGTACTGAGGTGGTTATGTGATGTGATCATGGTGTGAGCCCGAACCATGCGGGCCCTTCCTCGAGCTCTGAGAGAAAGAGGTCTTCTTGGCGAGCTGGGTGCGATGGGCACACACAGACCAGCAACAGAGACGAGCAGCTGCGGGTAACCTGTAGACTCCGTTGGGCGCATGGCATATTGGAGACCCCAACGGAACTCAGCTCTCCAAGGTTCCTCACCGTACATCATCAACACATACAGGCAGCCCTCCCCACTTGCTCCTGCGCCAGAACCCTGCACACACCCTTCTCAGCTCCAAAAGTGTCCGCCAAAGTGACCCACTGGGTCTCGGCCGGAGGGGCTGCCAACATCACCAGCCTCCCGCCTCTAGGCGATGGAGGCGTCAAAGTGCTTGGCAGCCCAATAGGAACCCAAGACTTCTGGCAGGCTTTTGTACTACAGCAGCAAGACCCTCCTGCACTCTCCAACCTTCACTCTTAAATCAGCATCCTCTTGAACGGGGAGAGGGGTGAGGAAATTGCGTGGGGGAAAGGGGTGGGTGGGGGAAAGGGGTGAGCAAAATGCGAGGGGGAAAGGGATGGGGGGGGGAGAGGGGGGTGAGGAAAATGCATGGGGGAAAGAGGTGGGGGAGAGGGGTGAGAGAAATGCGTGGGGGAAGGGGGTGGGTGGGGGAATGGGGTGAGCAAAATGCGTGGGGGAAAGGGGTGGGGGGGGGAGAGGGGGGTGAGGAAAATGCATGGGGGAAAGAGGTGGGAGAGAGGGGTGAGGAAAATGCGTGGGGGAAAGGCGTGGGGGAGAGGGGTAGGAGAGAGGGAGTGGGGAGTAGGTGTGGTGGAGTGGTGTGGGCGAGAGGAGTGGGGAAGAGGCGTTGGAAAGAGGCGTGCAGGGGGAGGGGGGGAGGGTTAGGGGAAGAATGGGGTGACAAAGAGCAGAGGAGAGAGCCCCTACATCCTGCTTCATAGACCTCACGTTCCTGAACCCTTGCCATCTTCTTCCCCCCATCGCCTCTTAACCCTTCCATATCCCTCGTATTCCCTCCCCCCCTTCTCTGCCCCTCTCGCCCACCCGCAGGCCGGCCACTCGCGCATGTCCTGTGCCAGCACCCTTTATCCCTCCGTCTTTTCTAATCCCCCTTCTCCCCTCCTCGCGGGCCCCCCGATTGCTTACCGGCACCATCCCATAACAATCACCCCTTATCCCATGGCTCACCCGCCGGTGTATCCACTCGCGCATGTCCTGCGCCAGCTTACACAGCACCATGATGCGGTCTGCTGGTACACGTCCTCACACACCTGGCGGGGGGAGAAAGGGGGAAGAGGTGGGAGGAGGGGTCAACTTGGAACCAGCTTGCGCAGCACCATGCGATCTGCTACTGCTGGTATATGGTCCTCCTCACACACTTGGCGGGGGTGAAAGGGGGAAGAAGAGGGGGGGGGGGGGGGGGGTTGGGGGAGAGGAGGGGACGACTCGACACCAGCTTGCACAACACCATGCAGTCTGCTGGCACACAGCCCTCACACACACACTCACACACACACCTGCAGCGGGGGGGGGGTGGAGACGGGAACACGGAGGGGCAGGGTGACGGAGGTTGTCAGGCACAGAGGGGAGAGAAAAGGCCTGGTTGCTTTGAGACAACCCAAACCAAGCTTGCGCAGCAACATGCCGTCTGCTACTGCTGGCACAAGTCCTCACACATCTTCCCCGGTGCACCTTCAGGAAGGCGGAAAGAGTGGGAATGGCGCAGAGGGGAACAGGCAGGGAGACCAAGGTTTGGGGATGTCGCACAATGTGTGCACACTTGAGCGATAAATGTAGCACGGGTGGCGGAGAGTAGAGAAGTGAGAGGGGTTGGGTTGGGACTCGAGCGAAAAACGACTGCTAGCAATCCCCGTCGTCACTCATTTCTCCTCGCTGCACAACCCTCTCACTTTCATCACCAACCAACCCAACACTCCCACCTCCCCCCCCCCCCCCCTCCTTCCCCCCCTCTCCCGCGGCGCACCTCGAGGAATGCGTCTGCAATCTTGTTGCGAACGCACCCGATTTCTTTGTCCATGCCTTCCACCCCTCTCCCTACTCTCCCCCTCCCCTCTTGTTCCCCCCCTCTCCCCTCTCCTAGCCCACTCCCAGCCACCAGCCCTCTCCCTGCCCCCACATCTCCCCTCCCCCATGCCCACCCCTTCCCCGCCCCTTTCCCGCACCTCGAGGAAGCCGTCCGATCTCGTCGCGGGAACACCCTCTTTCGTTCTCCATGCCCCCTCACCCCCCCCCCCCCCCCTCCCCCCCTCCCCCATCCCCACCCCCACCCCCCTCCACGACTAACCATCTCCCAGCCCCTTCCCAACTACCCCCCAGCCCTATCCCCGCACCCACAACTCCCCTCTCCCGCGCCCACCTCTCCCCAACCCTCTCACCCACCTCGAGGAAGGCGTCAGTCATCTAACCGCGGGAGAACGCGCTTCCTTGAAGAGCAGGGGAGAGGAGGAGGTCGGGAGAAGTCAATTCTCCCACCAGTGCTGAAAGTGACGATGAGGAAGGCAATGCCGACGGCCACTTGACAGAACGCTAAGGCCGTCTGGTCAGTTGCTAAGGCGACGACATGGTTTTCTGATCGACATGGCTGCGCGGACCCACTGCAAACGCGAGTGGTGCATGGCTGCCGCCCTGTCGCCCTGCCATCCTGCAATCCTGCCATCCTCTCCAGCAGGTTGTCGTGGCCCGTGAGAGGATGGCAGGTCGCATGAAGGAGGGGGGAGGGAGTGGGGAGAAGAAATGAGGAGGCGGGAAGGCAGGTGGATTGGAGGGGAAAGAAAGGGGAAACAGGGAGAAGGGGAGGGGGAGGAGGAGAGCAGGGTACATAAGAAATGGAACGCACAACAAAGCACAGAATGAAACAGCAAACGTTGGTGCGAAGCAGGGGGAACATGCATGGGAAGAGGAGCAAAGAGGGGGGAACACAATCCCCCCAAGCAGCATCGAAACGATTATGACTCGAAAATTCTCAGCAAAGGCAAGCTGACGGTTCCGTTGATCGTCAATTGACGCCATTCGACTCGCTGCGATGCCTGCGATGCTCGTGACGCCGCCTCTCTCAATACGCGTGGCGCTACAACTGGTAGGCCATTCGGAATTTCTCGGCGCTCGCGGAGCAGCTAGCGACGCACGTGACCCTCGCTCGACTTGCCATCGCATGGAAAACATTAGGGATTGCGGTGAGCAGTGTTACTAGTGCTATTGCTAAGTCAGCTCATACGGTATCCAGGAAAGTGACGTTCCGGTTTCGACTATCCTTCGAAATTACATCAGAGAAGTTACGGAAGAAGGGCAGATGAAGCAATCATGGCTATTAGAGGCCCATTCTGTTGAACCGTAAACTGTATGTCAAATCTACCTTATCACTAGCCTAGCGACCACTTTACAGTTCTAGGTCGCGGTAAGGTAGGTCGCGGAATGAGCGGCGAGCTCACCATGTCACCAGGCGCGGGTCGCTTATACCATATTTCGATTTTCCAAACATGTTTGTAGGCTTAAGGTATGCTGGAAGAATCATTCGTCATTTGCTGTGGTAGTCGTGTGGGTTTTGTTTGTTTCGCTCCGTTATTGCGCGAGCGAATGAAGAGGTCGTGTTCGTCAAACAGGTAGCGCTGCTGTTGCAGTAGCAGACGGCATGTTGCTGCGCAAGCTTGGTTTGGGTTGTCTCAAAGCAACCAGGCCTTTTCTCTCCCCTCTGTGCCTGACAACCTCCGTCACCCTGCCCCTCCGTGTTCCCGTCTCCACCCCAACGCTGAAGCCACTCAGGCGTCCACTTGTCTTGCTGAACGTTGAGGGTGGGGATAAGGTTGTCCCACGAGCTGTCGAGCACCGAGATGATCTTGGTGCATTGCTGCATCTGCGACACCTCGCTGCCCGCCGTGTCAGAATATTATTCTTATGTTCTAGCCTGTAGTGGGGTGCTCTATAGCGAGTACAACCCTTCTAGGGTTTGCTATTTGTATCCCCATTTCTGCTAGTTCATTCCTCTTTCTTCTTCTAATTTTGTCACGCCGCTGCCATCCTCGCATATGTGTCCTTGATCTTGTCAAGGACCGGCTTCACATCATCTCTCGATCGCATGGAGATGGCCGCCACCTCCTTCCCTCTCCCCGTCGAGCAGGGGAACTAGTCTCGAGGTGCGGCCCGGGTCGGGCCGTTTTGGCCCGCTTTTGACCCAAGCCCCGCTTTCATTGAGGCCCATCACAGCGTATGGTAGGAAGTATATGAGAACCATATTAGTTTCAAAACTAACGAGAGCAAGAGCTGAAACTAGGCCAGTATTGTTTATGCCTACATGGCTAGACATTATCAAGATGGAATTGAGAGGGTTTGCGCTGGGCATTATTCTCGCTTTGATAGCCATGGCTCGTTTGTTTGTGTTGAACCGAGCTTGGTCTGCCACAATCCTAGGAAGCCTCATGATGAAGGGACCAATTTTGCCACTATCAGCTTTTTTCACCATAAGAAATGCGTTCAGGGAAGGCAAGAAACACTAGGTGCGAAAAGTCACTCTACAACGGTAGTGAGCTAGACTACAGAGGTTGGCACAAACTACTAGGAGTGATCGTAACTTTGCTTAGTTCTTTAGCGCTTGCACATTCACGGGAAAAATCGGCAAGATTTTCCACTAGCAAAGTCGAAAATACATAATTGATTCAACAAGCAATGACAACAATGACTATATCAGGCACCTAGCAACTCTGCAGCTAGCCTTGTGGCCGTGTCAGCACTGCTGAAAGACAACCTGCCAACATAGCAGGTCGACGGCGTGCCAACGCTGCAGCAGAGCGGCTGTCCAGCGTTGCCCCGTAGAAGACAACAGTGCATACGCTCGCCGGTGCGCGCAAACGATTGGCGCGACTCGCCTCGTTGTGCATCCATCGGCTGTTGTCTGCGCCTGACGAGCCACATCGACTTCGGGTTACCAGCCCGAAGTCGCCTTCGCCATCGCGACCTCGACGACATTCGCGTGCCTCCGCAGAACTTGTCAAGTAGGTTACCTGGTCGACCACCAACTGCTCTGATCGACCACCAGGTGCCTCCGGTCAACCACCAGGTGCCTCTGGTCGACCACCAGGTGCCTCTAGTTGACCACAGCTCCTGTCAAGCTACCCCGTGGTCGACGGACCCCTTCCGTCGACCAGAATTGTGAGCGATTGACGTCGTGTTCCCCTCGTCGACCATTCCTCACTTGTCAGGTCGACGGAGAGCTGCGTCGGCCTCCCGGTCGAACTGCCCGTCCTGGTCGACGGCCCACCCGTCGCCTAGCCCAATCAGCTGCAGCTGTCGAGCTCCCTGGCCGACAGCAGCGCCACAGCGGTCCCCTGCAGCTCGACGAAGACGGTTGAGCAGCTCTCCTATTGTGAGCGGTTGGCTGCTTCTCCCGTACATCGGACCAAGTCGTCAACGTTGCCCAAGCGAGGGCGGGGCCAACACTCCTATTCCGTCAACACTAGGCACGAGCATAGGTCTAAGACGAGCTGGCTTGGTTCAAATTGCCATGATCAGGTGCGCTGACGAGCCAGTCGGGCAGCTGACCAAGCTCGTGGCTTGTCCATTGTAGACAAGCAGGCATTGCTTACACGGTTTTGGTATTTTACTGCTTCGGGTGAATCTTGCATTTTAGCTTTGGATTTGCTTCGAATTTCTCATCTGGGTAAGAGAGGGTCTTGGCTTGTCGAGATCGGTTTGATTTCAGCCAGTTGATACTCGGATTGCCAGCTTGTCTTGACTCAATTGTCATATTGGACCCGTGTTTCAAAAAAGGTGGAAATATATGAATGACCTCCAACCATCTCAATCCAAGGTTTATATGTATCCCACAGGACTCAAGGGCCATCTTGGTCTGCCAGACAACCAGCCTAGATTGTCAAGCATATTCTGGCCCAGTTCGGGCCAGCTGAGTTCGACCAGCTTGTGGCCGGCTGGTGAAAGAATAAGTTCAACGGGCCGGCAAGCCAGGTCTCCGCTCGTCGGGCCAGCTCGATAACTCGGGGTCAGTCGGCAGAGCAGGGTTGCTGGCTCTGCTTGACTCAATTGTCAGCTCAGGCCTGTACTTGTTATTGAATGCAAAATTGAGCTCCCAGTTTGACACATTGCGGGATAATGTGTGTCGGGTGTCTTGTGCCCTTGTCCGGCAGCAGTAGTGGGGTTTGTCATGGGCCACGGGATTGAAGCAGCCTGGTTTTCCAGGCATATACCTTCTCACTGAGGACCAAAACGATTCAAGCAGTCTGACATCAGAACAGTTCAAGTAGTGCAGGCTGGTCGGTGAAAATCAGTTTGGCACAAGTCACAAGAGAACCTGCCCTTGGTCATGTTGTAGTGAAAGGCATAAATTTCAAGCATGAGTAGCCCATCTTTTGCGTCTTTGATGAGTCAATGTGCTCTTAAATTGGTCTTCCGTTTCCCTGTCCCCTAAAGGTTTTCCACATACTTGAGCACAGCCTTAAGCTGTATGTGAGGGGAGAGACGCATTGGATTTTGAGCATGAGCAGTCCATCTTCTGCATATTTGATGCGTCAATGTGTTCATAAATTGGTCTTCAATTTCCCTCTTTAGGAGTCCCCTAAAGGTTTGCCACATACTGAGCGCGGCCTTAAGTTTCGTGTGTAGGGAGAGAAGATGCACTGGGATGCGAGCATGGGTAGTCCATTTTTTGCATCTATGATGCGTCAATGTTCTCTTAGATCGGTCTTTGCTTTCTCTCTTTGGAAAAGAAAACGCACAGAATGCACGACATTCACAACAAAGGCAGCATCCTAGACCGCCATGGGTAGCTAACTGGGATTTGTATGGAAGAAGCCTCACCATCTACTTGGTACTGGGGTCTCCCACCTACCTCTGCACATTAGCCTCATGATAGGGTCTTGCAATGTCCAAGCGACAAGATACATGGGAAAGGGAGGTTCTGGCTGTTCCTCATGTTCAAATGAGAGTGAAATTCTATGAAATCAAGCTCATAGCGAAGCGAAAAGACCCAAAGCCACGATATATAGGCTGCCATCAGTTTGATCATACCCAAATAAAGTCATCAGACGAGCCATTCTCAAGCTGCCATCATCGTTGGTCAAATCTGAGCCATCCCTGAACTCTCCTTTTCGCTACAGATAAAAAAACAGAATGTCTTGCCAACGCTACTGGCCTACAGACTTTCCTTCACAAAATCAATTTGTTCAAATGCAGACAGTGAAGACATTATGCGATGGAGTATGCTGTTTTAAGCACTGTGCATGCACAGCTGTTTTAGGTCATAGTTGTATCCTGCTGTGCCTTTCCACCAACACAAACATTGTGTACTCTATATCCTTTTCTCCTGCTTCTGAATGTGTACACATTTGCATGCTTGCCATGAGGCGCAAGTTGTCTTCATTTATTTCCACCCATAATATACTTCGCTTGCTTTA